TTTCATAGCTGAAAATGTGACATAGTTACTTTATTTTAGTATAAAATTTAAATATGGGCTTGGAAAGCACATAATATCGCCCCTTTAAAAATATTGTCAGGAAATTTAAAACATTGGTACATTTTTAGTTACTTTTTTTTGTGTTTCCTGAAAAACATGGAAAATTCACAATGTGGTTATCTCAAGAAGATATTTGATATTCCTGAAGGAATGTCTTCAGGCTGCTAAACAAGCGCTACAGCTAGCTGCTGCTGCCAATATACATCATTTGCAAATAACCACAAAAATATGAAAATAACCAAGTCATGCAAAATCGATTGTTATGTGAATAAAACAGCATTTTATAAATGTAATTTTTAAGACTGGAGCTGTTAACTTTGGCTCTGCTCAGACTAGCCATTGGCTCATCAATCTGGTCACTAGCCATTGGCTCATCAATCTGGTCACTAGCCATTGGCTCATCAATCTGGTCCCTACTCCAAGCAATAAAGCAGGAAACTAAAGGTAACACCAAGAAACTGAGCCTAGGCTTGTCAAACCAGGACATTTAGAGGTTGTGGTCTGATGAGTCTGGATTCACTGGACTCCAGCAGCCTCCATCACCAGATCTGAGTCCRGTGGAGCAGCTTTGGGATGTGGAGACTCCCTTTAATCTGTGCWATGAATAATTCTAGGGGACATATGATGCAAAATCCACTTGTTTAGCCATTAAATGCATTTTGTTGTGTACTTGGAGTCTCTAGGAGTGCAGAAAAGCTGAATGGAGTCTCTGCTCTTGGTCAGACTGGCTCCAACAAGTGAGGCTGGATGGACAAGTCTATTGTTGTTGACATATTTTAATTAATTTGTAAATAAAACGTTTCTGCGCCAACCCCTCTATCAAAGATTGGACCACTCTAGAAGCTGGAGGGGCAGGGAAGGTGTGAAACGCCTCTTTTGGATTTAAAGAGACAGCCTCAAAATGAGTTGATCTGAGACACTCCTCAGAGGGGTGAAAGTGGGGCTTGTGGAGTTACAATAAGGTGGAATTCAGACCAAAGCATTGCAGTTACACTTTATATAGACCCCAATTGAATGATTTAAATGTAAAGAATAAGGATTTAAAAGCATGATATGTCTACTTTAAGGCAAAAGGGGTCCAACCCAATATATATAAAGTGGCTGGTGAGTGTATAAATAAAGAAAAATATCTGTTTGAAATGTATTTTAAGTAGACAGGGCCCAAATCTCTGAACTGAGGTCAACCAAAGGTAAGATATAATCTTAACCTATTTATTGAAATTTTTTGAAGAMCCCCTAAGCTACGGCTCGCAGACCCTGAGGGTTCTGGGAACTTTGAGAACCTCTGAACTATCACTTTAAGGGTTAATCTGACACTTTGGGAAACGCTCAKCCTTGATAAAGAAACATCAGGTGTGAGTTACAGCATGGTGGAATTCCTTCCTTATTCTGGGTTCTGTTCAGGGAGGTTTTCTTTCTCCAGTGTGTCAAACAGAGTTCACAATAAGTTACTTATTATTTTTTCAAATCTTATGTGTTACAAAAGCTTCTAGAAATGAGAACATGTGATCCTGACATGATCTACATGATAACAGGAAGTGGGTCACGTGACACTATCTTGGAGCCACAAAACATTTTTTTTAATCATCCAGGGACTTCAGTTTGTGCAGTATTTTTGTGTGTGTAGCATCGTTTTACACAGGGCCCATAAAAACACACACACACACACACACAGAGAAGATGCATCACTCTGTTCTCTCACACGGGATGTTCTGTTCTTGTCCAGCACTTCCTGTCTGTTGACCCCTCTCTGCCTCTCTCATGGACACACACATCCTCGGCTGACTATTATTAGCTTTAAAATGGATTAAAAAAAAGAGAAAAAACAAAAAATAAAAGTAAAAAACGTCAATTATAGGTGTAAAAGTAGAAAAGTGGATGTTTTTGAACTGTTCAAGACAGAGAGCTATTTTTATATGTTGCGTGTGTGTGACAGTGTGTGCGGGGCTGCTCATTGTTTCAAAACTGTCTCCTGACAGCAAAACTAAAATTACAGTAAGTAATAGTAAAAGAGAAAAAACTAGAGTTTTCACATATTGTATTTTAAGTTGGTTATTTTTATCTTTCTTAGAAAGTGAAAATTACAGGATGATGATGAAGRGTAATGTAACCAAGAGATGGCAGTGAGAAGCTTTATAAGTCAGTGACAGATTAAATTTGTTTTGAGCTCCAATTTCATCTTTTTCGACAGTAAAACCACACAAATCTCCAGCTGGATTGGCAGTTGTAATAAATGTGAAGCATTTGTCAACAGGAAAGCATGAATGTGTGTGTGTGTGTGTGTGTGTGTGTGTGTGTGT